CTTCCTCCTCCTCGTTCTCCTCCTCCTCCTCCTCCTCCTCCTCCTCCTCCTCCTCCTCCTCCTCCTCTCGCGCCACCTCCTCCTCGTCGTCGGCCTCCCCCATGCCCCTTCCCTCCTCATCCCCCTGCCTTTTCTTCATGTGCACCTCATTTTCCTCAGCGCCGCCGCCGCCTCGGCCAGCGCCTCGGGAAGCGGGCCCCATAGGGAGGGGACTCCCGCCTGAGACTTCCTCACAATTCACTCACAGACGAAGCTCCCGCTCGAGACTTCCTCCATATTCAGGTCTCAAGAGCCCAAAAGTGACGACAGTTGCACGTTTCGGATGACCCGCTCGGATTCGAACATGAGGTGCGGGCCCCATAGGGAGGGGGGTCCCGCCTGAGACTTCCTCACAATTCACTCACAGACGAGGCTCCCGCTCTAGACTTCCTCCATATGCAAGTCTCAAGAGCCCAACAGTGATGACAGTTGCACGTTTCGGATGACCCGCTCGGATTCGAACATGAAGTGCGGGCCCCATAGGGAGGGGGCTCCCGCCTGAAACTTCCTCACAATTCACTCACAGACGAGGCTCCCGCTCTAGACTTCCTCCTTATTCAAGTCTCAAGAGCCCAAAAGTGACGACAGTTGCACGTTTCGGATGGCCCGCTGGGATTCGAACATGAGGTGCGGGGCCCATGGGGAGGGGGCTCCCGCCTGAGACTTCCTCACAATTCACTCACAGACGAGGCTCCCGCCTGATACTTCCTCCATATTCAGGTCTCAAGAGCCCAAAAGTGACGACAGTTGCACGTTTCGGATGACCCGCTCGGATTCAAACATGAAGTGCGGGCCCCATAGGGAGGGGCTCCCGCCTGAGACTTCCTCACAATTCACTCACAGACGAGGCTCCCGCTCGAGACTTCCTCCATATTCAAGTCTCAAGAGCCCAAAAGTGACGACAGTTGCACGTTTCGGATGACCCGCTCGGATTCGAACATGAAGTGCGGGCCCCATAGGGAGGGGGGTCCCGCCTGAAACTTCCTCACAATTCACTCACAGACGAGGCTCCCGCTCGAGACTTCCTCCATATTCAGGTCTCAAGAGCCCAAAAGTGACGACAGTTGCACGTTCCGGATGACCCGCTCGGATTCGAACATGAAGTGCGGGCCCCATAGGGAGGGGGCTCCCGCCTGAGACTTCCTCACAATTCACTCACAGACGAGGCTTCCGCCTGATACTTCCTCCATATTCAGGCCTCAAGTCAGCGAGTAGTGATGATGATGATGATGATGATGATGATGATGATGATCGTTCGATGCCGATGATGGTGAGTGATCGTGCGATGGTGATGGTGATGCTGATGGTGATGATGATGATGATGATGATGATGATGATGATGATGATGATGATGATGATGATGATGATGATGATGATGATGATGATGAGTGGGGAGTGATGGTGATGGTTATGATGATGCGGAGGAGGATGCAAAGAAGAGCAGAGGAGAGGGAGGAGGAGGAGGAGGAGGAGGAGGAGGAGATCCTGCGCGGAGGGTGTGGAGAGAAAAAAAGAACCCCACTTAGGATGTGGGGAATAAAATCAATTAAGACCCGTTGCACACTCATCAGAAATCCAGAGGAACCCTTAGGCATCTTGAGGAATCCTCCGGATCCCACATCCAGCGCCCAAGCCTGGGCCTGAGCAATCCTCGGGAACACCTGGGAACCTTCAGGGAACCTTGGAAATACTCAGGGATCTCAGGGAATCCCTTGGAATCTCTCGGAATCCTTAGGAAGCCGCTCCTGAGGAGCCCTTCGGAACCCTTAAGAGAATCCTCCAGAATTCAGGAATTCGAAAAAAAATGAGAATCCTCGAGACTCCCTTGGGGGCCTCGGCAAACCACAGCAAACCCGACGAATCCGGACATAAGAACCCTTAGGAATAATCCGTAATTCTTTAGAATCCGTAAAACACTGAGCAATCCGTCAGGCTTCGGAATACGCATGAGAGACTTATGACAGCCATGTGAAAGGTTCCGAGAGGCTTATATATTGCGCAACATAGGCTCTCATTTCTAAAAGAGGATCATCAGGATCTACCCCCCCACCCCACCCAGATTCAACCGCCCGCCTCCTCGCATTGCAATGTCTAACTGTTTGTTGTCCCAGTTGTCCATCCGAAATCATACCATCCCACGGAGGCCGGCAACACTTCCCCCTTCATCCTTTTGCCAAACAATATTATGCACACGCATACGTCCATGAAGAAAACATACGTTT